ATCCATCCATCCTCTCATCCATCTCTCTCTCTGTGTCTCCATCCACCCACCCATCCATCCATCATCCATCCATCCATCCATCCACCCACCCATCCATCCATCATCCATCATCCTCTCTCTATCTACCTACCTATCACTCACCTGTCTCCTCCCAGGAGTTAAGCTGCAGGACTGCCCACCCTCACTGCAGACACGCAGGACTTGGCCTCTGTGTGCTGAAGTTCTAGAGATCCAGTGATCTCTAGAAAACCATGAAATAAACCACCAGGCAACGTCCTTCGAGTTCTCCTCACAACAGAGCAACGTCTCCTGCAGACCGAACCTTCGAGAGAGATGAAGGAACCCCGGGGATGTACCTGCAAAGAGGCTCTACAAGGTCCTTCTCCAGGAAGTCATGGTCGTCCTTGACAGCCACGATGTTGATGGGGAACTGTGAGTCTGCAAGGGAGAGGGGAGGGTCTCAGGCACCGTGTTTGAGGGGCATGAGCACCCACACAGCCAGCCCATCCGGTTTCTGGACCAGCACTGGTCTGAGCGCAGCTACGCCCCCACCCCCCCGGGGAAGCTGACATGAAGGCGGCAGCTGGTTCTGCTTTGGTTGCAGGAAGTGCCGAGTGAGTACAGCAGGCACGGACGACGCGTACTTGATGGTGACTGACCACAACTGGGTGCGGGTGGCCTGGATGTCTTCAGCTCGCCCTGGTCTCACCCGGGCTGATGTGGACCCAGAGACGGTCTGCCTTTCTTGCTCCACCAGCCTGGACTGCGGGGCATCGCCTCTAACCTGGCCATCTCACGAAATAGTTGGCTTGGAGCGAGGTTCTTTTTGCCTTCCAGAAGGACATTTCCCGAAATACCCCAAGCTCAGTGCCCTCATATGTTTTCCTGACTTGCGACCTTCCTGAGTCCCTCTGACGGGACGGGGTGGCATCTCCCCACGGAGAAGAAGACGCTCCAACACCAGGACTCCCTGGGAGAGAAGTCCTGGTGCCAGCTCTGGAGGGGCAAGGGCAACTCTGGACACGTGGTGAGAACAGCCAGTGCCGTGTTCATGCAGGGAGGGCAGAAGAGTGGAGCCACCGTCCCCCACACCACAGTCTGCACACCCACAGGGGAGCAGTTCGAGCCCACGGGGCACTCCGTGAGGGAAAGGTGAGGCCGTCTACTCCCTA